AATAGCAAAACTTTGAAAATTTTAAAGAAAAAATTGAAGCTTTTCAAAAGAATCAAACTTTTTTTTAATTATCATTCTTTTTTAAAAAAATTAAAACGGATTTCAATTTTTAATAAACATTTATCCGATGACCACGTTTTTCTTTCTTTTTTTAATATAAATGACGCCACTCGTTACATAACGTTACAATATATTTTTAAATTGAATTCTAAAAATGGTTGCGAAAGAATGCAAAGTTAATTTGAAAAAAAAAGTTTGTCTTATTTCGAAAATATCAAAACGTACTGATTGATATGCAAACTTTTCATACCAAATTTTTGAATTCCAGCTGGGAGATACCAGAGAATATTCCGAAAGATTACTGAGATAGGAAGGGCGACGGATAACAAGAACCCAACAACAACCGAATAATTTGAATTGACTTAAACCGAATATTAACAACGAAAAAACTAATTCAATTGTAGGTCAGTCTCTTTGAGCACATTATAATTTCGAAATTAAGAATTTGCATCAAAAATCTAAATGCTGCATTCAGGAAATACAATCTGGACATTAAACAGTTGATTTTAATTTTTTTCCAATTACCAACTATTCTTTCCAATCTTTTTCCATTTAATTAGATAACAACAGAGCAATATACATGTGATAAATTAGAAATACGATTTTAGTAAACCAAAGAATATGTTTTTAGTTTACTCATCACCTCCATATTGACACTGATAAATGACAATAGATCAATAATTCATTTACCACTTATCAGTGTTGGAAATAATCACAACAAGTAAATTATGACTAATTCAATATCCTTTTATTGCTTATTAATGATTAGATTAACAACCGATAAAAAATTAATCAGCTACCAACCGATTATCCATTAATGTTCAAATTGATAAATGATAATCAGATGAATTTATATTGCAACTGGATATCAAAACACTCACTGAATGCATTTTCGTCGATCTTAAAATCAAATGATGGATCCTTGATAGGTGCACAAATAAGTGGACATTGTTGTGTCCAGTAATCCACCAGAATACGTTCCGCTTCATCCCAATTCGACACAGGTATTACCGATATTAGCTTATCAATTATTTGCATCGTTAATTACACGTACTTCAGAACTACCAGTACTAGTACGATCATATATACATAAATGTATATATACAAATGAAATAAGCACTGAAAAATTGATTAGTGATGAAATTTTTGCAAATTTTTCGAAACATTTCAACGCTTTTATCAGCAATTACAAATGGCAAAAGGGATATCCTACCGACGGCTATCGATGATCATAGAAATGATAACATTTAATCAAAAATTTGCAAAAAAACAAAATACTGTTAATAAAATTTTGGTTTTAACCATCGATTTACCACAATAATTTCTGTGAAACTCGAAAAATCATTCCAAGAAACTCTCGAAGTCTAGCGTACAACAAATTCATTGTTTGAAGGAGATCCTATATTACTTCTTTCGACGGTTTCCTGTCGAATGTTCTGATTTTATCAATATTATTTTGAAAATATATCCGAAAACTTCCCCACAGCTTTAAAAAGATTTCTGGATATCAAAAAATTGTTTGCTTAGAGACTAGATAGCTTTAAAATTAGGATATGAAATATGAGACAGGATAATATGTAAACCATACATTAACGTCACCTATCCTGAAACTGTTTCCTTTTTTTCATTCAGCTGTACATTTTTTTTTAACCTCTCAGATTTTTCAAGTTATTCACAATTTATGGAAATGAACCTTAAATCATTTACATAAATTGTGAACGATTTGAATTTTCAATCCCATTTTAGGAGACAATCTGAAAATATCAATTTTCTATCTGCTCTTAGTGAACATGATAAGTTTCCATGTAGAGGATACGAACTCACCTTTATCAATTAAAAAAAAACTTGAAATCCGTATCCGATTTACAAGACAGCATGAATTAATTCGTCATCAAATTTTATATACACATTATGATATTAAGTTTTATTCAATCTTTATATTAATTTAATAAAACAATGCCGGATCCGGAATGGGAACGTTATTCCCGCGAAGACATGCCAGTAATGCATTCACGCAACCTGCAAGAGCAATTTAGGCTGACGTTTTCATAGCTAAATGATTTCAAACCCACTGAAATCAAGTTGATAAGGATGTGCGGTGAGTGAGTGGGAGGTGTTTCGGAAGAGAATTAGAATTTGAATGGATTCAGGAATATGTGATAGAAAGGATATGATAGTGTATGTAAGAAGTATAGTGTTAGAGATTGAGAAAATTTATGAGTGATGGTATGTATGCTACAGCTAAAGCAGTGATTGAGAGTAAAGATATGGCAGTAATGAAGGCTACTTAAAAGATATAGATCGAGAAGATGACGTGAAATATTGAGAGAAAAAGGGAATAGGAGGAAAGAAAAGTGGCAATAATTGAGAATGTATTATATGCTATTGAAAGTTATCGATGAAAATGATTTGTTAAATCTTTTTTTTTTTTTTCATTCATTAATAGTACATTTACGTGCATGCAGATATTATACATACTTGTATACACGTAGATTTATCATCTCTATTTCTTCAGATTTATTTTTTCATATTTTGCGTCCAATTTTTCCTTTTTTCTCTTAATTATCTTTCAATATCGTATAATTTTAAAATTGTTGAATAAATTTTAATTTGTTTTGTTGAGTATATTAAATGAAGAACAAAATAATTGCATTTTGCAATTAAAGAAATAAAGTGTTATGATACGATGAATATTAACAATGGAATTGTTTAGTTACATTAACTATTACTAATATTTTATTAGTATATATGATATTACAGCAGGAATAATAAACTTTTTTGATTTAAATGATTCTTTGATTTTCATCACCAAAAGAAAATTGCGTGCTTTGTCCTTCCCATTGCTCAGTTTTGTACCACATTCGTCTTGCTTTTTACCTTTTTCTTTTCTCATATCATTCTTATTACAATAATTATGTTGTTTTTGTGATCAAGTTTTATGATTTTTCTAAAATCATAATAATTGATAGTTTTTTCTTCCAGAATATATCATTGCTATCTGACAGTTATTCATTCGAGGATAAGTGATATTACTTTACTTTCGTTTGTTGGAAACATAGCAAAGAATCAAAGCGATGACAAATCAATACTTTTCAACTTATGTCGAAGATTTAGAACAAGTAAGAAAATTTGTATTTAAAAGCAATGAATTTTAATATCTAAAAAATTTTAATTTTTTTATATCATTCAGAAAAACAGTAAATTAAATTTCACTGTGTTTGTTTTTCAGGAACCTTTTGATGCTATTGATTTTGTGGAACGTTTGGCATGGCGTTTAACTGGAGGTAAAGATGATATTAATGTTACGGATTTGAAGACAAAGTTTGAAGAGGAAATTGGTAATTTACAAATGTTAAGCGATCAATTTCAGGTAATATTTTTTTTCTGTTTTGTTTCTCCTCACCTAAATTTTGAAATTGAGAATTTTTAGGATTTCTGAGCTTTAATATTCCTAAAAATTTAGAACAAGTGCACATGAGCAAATTGATGATTTACTTCTGGCTAGGCAGTCCAAAACCTTATAGCAATGCTAAAATATTGAAACTATTATAGTCGAAAATAAGTTCCTTGGAACAACAATGTAGCAATGATAAACGTGAATATTTAAACGTTCTACACAAACTTCATGAACAAAATGCTGATGCTATGGATAAATTAAAGGTTAAATTCCCTTTACAAATCTAATGACTTTAAATGATAATAGCATTGCTTTTTAACATGCTTCACTGGGTTTTAACGTTTTATTGGTCAGTACATTCTTCTGACAAAGGTACGATCTCATTTTAAATATGGTCATAAATGTTCTAAATTAACCTAATAAGATTGTCTTCATTTTGCCTATTAATTTTACTGACGATGGTTATACCGTCAAAAACTTATTAAAAAAATTCAATTTTAACCCAAATCTTTTGAAATTCTGAAATGAAGGCCAAGTTTTTGAAGCAGTTGGACAGCACTATGCAAACAGTCTCAACTAAAGTGGTACATTTGGGTGATCAATTGGAAAGTGTTCATTTGCCACGCGCTCGTGCCAATGAAGCTCTACAGCTAATGAAGCACTTCGATGAATTTTTGGCTGATCAACCACTGAGTTCTGATATCTTCATTGATCCAGATAGGGTATTTTCTCAACGCCATCTGAAAATGTAACAGAGCAAATAAATTGATAACTATTCTTCATCATTTTGTGCTAAATCTGTGCACTTCAAGCTAATTTCTCAATTTCAGTTGTTGGAATCTGCTGCTATGATTCAAAAATTATCATCTATTTCGCAGGAATTAGCAAAAGATAAATACAGTAACGTGCAAATTAGAATTGCTCACAAATACGATGAAATTGAACGATTAATGTTGGAAGAATTTGTGCGAGCTCATCGACAGGGGAACTGGCGTAGAATGCATGAAATAGCTGCGATTTTGGCTGACTTTAAAGTAAGAGTTATTGAAATTTACTGCTATAATTCAGAAATTTTCATTTATTTTTCAGAAATTAGCGGATTTCTTTTAAACTGATTTAAATTTATGTCCATTACATTTTTTCGATTTTTTTATTGAGACAAGACTGATATCAATCTTGTCTTTATATTGAGGAATAAGATTGACTAGTAGATTTTTAGAATTTTAATTTGAAGCATTGACACATTTATCATCACGTCGTGAATATATTTTCATTTTTATTGATTTATGTTTTTATGCAACAGTTTGTGAAGCATTAAGCTATAAATTTAGGGCTACTCACAGTGTCTGGACGCTTTTGTTGAGCATATGCAGATTAATGCTTTTCGCGGTGATAACATCTTCGATGATATTTTATCACTTTGTCAGAAAACTCAGCCGATGTTGAAAGAGATTTTTCCAAATCCTGACCAAGTGAAGTCAAAATTGATTTTAAATTTATTCCATGGAAAATTGCAGGTAAATGTTGGTTGCTTATCTGATTAAATAATTATCATATGGTTTGAATATATTACTTGAATTATCAATTTTTACAGAAATTAGATATTTTTACTCATTCATTTATATGATCTTTTTAACCATCATTAATAGCTGATAAATCTGTTCGGAATGATTAAAGTTTTTTTAGGAAATTTTTAATTTGCAGGAAGTCATAACGATGAAGTTAAGGGATTCAGAAAATGATTTAGAAATTTATTTAACAACAATATATGATCTCTATTCCAGGTTATTTTCATTTGAAATAATTTTTAACTTAAATTATTTTAAGTTCCTTTTTTGATTCTTTTTCAAAACAAATCATTTGTTACATGAAAATTTCTACGGAAGAGCAAATTTTAGAACACAAAAATTAGTATCAAATTTATTGACATTGCGGATTTCTGGAACTGACGCTCAGTTTATGGATACGTTGGTGCGGTCTGTGTTCGGACGTTATTTAGAAACGTATCCTACGTACGTCTTCATTTTGTTTTCGAGTTTCTGTCAACTGTTTTTAAGAACATTTGTTCTTGCATTTTCTGAGGCAAATGGGAATGTATATTCATTGAGCATTCCTCAGAAATTAAACAAATGTTTTAATGTATCCTATGTTTCATAATTTCTTCAGAATTGAACGGCAGTTTTTGACAGAACAGTGTGGCGCCATATTGAGTCGGTTTTACGAATCGAAAAATCATCAGAAGAAACAAATTCAAAGTGGTGGGTAAGTGGTTTGATATGTTTATCGAAAATTTTGTATCACCATACCAAAATAAGAGTGATTTCTATCTACAAACTAAAATTAGTTATTTAATGTAATTTTTTTGACCACTAAATTATTAACATTACAGTTAACATTATATTTCATTGGGAGTTACTTACACGTTTTGCAACTCATTTTAATAATTAATTTTCATATACAAAAAATATATCTGAAATTAGGTTTCAAGACTTGAAACGAGATATTCAAGCAAGATTATTGAATGTGGAAACATATGGTGGTGAAACGTTTCTATCCGAAGAAGTAGCTATTAACATACTTCAAGAAACGAAGAATGCCTTTCAACGCTGTCAGCTGGTAATGTTCCAACAAAATTTGATAGCTTAACTGATGCCCCTCTATTTATTTTATACAAAAGAAAGGAATATTTTCCATTTTATTTCAATCTGAATTTCTTTAACGCATTGTTGTTCTCTCGGGGGCACGCAGATGACATGATAAAATAAATTTTGGTCATTGTTTGCAGTTATTTTTTACCTGTACTTTTTTCTAATTCTTAATTTACATACAGTTATGCGATAAAGATGAAGCGCCGAAAATGACAGAAACGATATTTGATATACTTTTGCGATTTTTGTACACTGAACATTTGGATTATGCAATTGATCTTTCACTTGCAGGTATGTGCAGGGGAAAATTTATTTTTCCCTTTTTTTTCAGTAGATGTACCATCATTTTTTTGCTATTGATTGCAATATTTAATCTGCAGGAATATCGTTAGCTGAACCAAAAACTGAACCTCCTAATTATTTTTTTTCTGTTGTTCAACAAGCAGTAGCTATTACTCATCTTTTCTATAAGCAATACGATGATTCCATTTTTCCATTGGTCAAGTAAGTTTCATTTGCATCGTTTATGACGTCCTTACACTAATCAAAATATCGTGCTTGTTATTTTTGAAGATTTCAAATTTCGAAATTTTAATTTCAATCCTTCTCGTTCAAGTAAGGTTGCCAGGGATTCATTTTGCAGCGATACGGCTGTTGAGGATGTTTGTAGACGAAAACGTGCTGATTGCCTACGTAACGTTGAAAATCGGATAAATCTTGGACTTGAACGACAAATTAATGCAGTAGTCGGTTATATACGTTTCTTATTGACTAATGAACAAAAGAAGACAGATTTTCGTCCCGAAGATGAAAACCAAATGGTGACGGCTATGTCTAATGTTAGTTTTACTCTCTTGAAAAAAGAACGTGTTTTCGTAGAGTTAGGTGAAAAGATTTCTCTTTATACGGATGCTTTTGCACGATAATGAATGTATAAAAGTTAATTCAACGAAATGGATGATATAATATTAACAGATAACATTTACTTTTTTTAGAATCTAAGCTGACGAATATGAATTGAAAGTTTTAATGGTTTTCTGAGGAGATCTTTGTCACATACGTTTTAATCTTTTCGTAATACGAAGCACTGAATACATTCTTCTTTTCATAATTTTCGAATACATGAATTTTTCAGGCTTGTGCTCTCGTTGTCAAATATTTGAATTCAGAAGTACAGGTAATACGTGACAGCCTTGATGGAGGTAATTTGACTACTCTAATGCTAGAATTTGGTCGTCGTTTTTACAAAGTTTTATTGACGCATATATATCAATTTACGTATAATTCTCAAGGAGCTATGCTCTTACTATGTGATATCAACGAATACAGGTGGATTTTTTTATTTTTTTGATTTATTAGGAATAATTCGATGTTAGAAGCAAAAAGTTTAGTGACAGATCAAATTTTTCTGGATGCTTGATTACGTCTTCCAGGCTTAGCAATAATTTTTTGGAGAGAGCTTTTATGATTAACCGTTAGTATATTCCATCTTGTTATTTGATTATTGATTAATCCGGAACTGTAAAAAAAATTTTGAAGAAAAAGACATTTCTTGCTTATTGAAATATAAAACCTCTGACTCCAATTTAAAACAATTGGCTGATGTTTCAGAAAATGCATGCTTAGTTGGAAAATTCCGGAAATTGGCAAGCAATTTGAAGCCTTACATGCACTTGCAAACTTATTAGTTGTTGTGCCGGAGAATTTGAACGAAGCCTGTTCATCACAGTTATTGGTTAGTTTGCCAAAATTTTAGAAATAATTGGCTAAGAGATGTTTACTACACAGTTCTTTGGAGACTGTAAGACTTTTGAATGCGCTATACATGAACATTTATTTGGTATCTATTCCAGATTGATACGGATAGAAGAATGGTTAATAGTTTCATACAACTTCGGATGGATTATCGAACAGCTAAATTACATTTAAATTTTATATGAATTTAACGGCGAATTATTTTACAACTTTTTGTTAATCGATGAATGCATCAAATAAAACGGTTTGACGGGTAACCCGATGAATTAATTTTAGATGGCGTTAGTCTCTTACAGCTAAATTAAACTGAGAAATTTGGCAATCTTGTATAAAGTATTATTGTATAGCATACTTTTGCAACATTCCGTATAATTTGTTTCAAACTGTTAACAGAATTTAAATTTTTCGAAGATTTTGAACATGCTTTCTTATTAGTGATTTAAATGTGATAATTTTTTTATTCCTTGATAATAATAAACTGACTTGTTGGTGTGCTTTTTCTACTCATCTCTCTCATTTGATTTTTGTCTAATTCAAAAATTCTGACTTTAAATTAAATTTGGGTTTTAAAGAAAACTTTGCTTTCATTTTCTTCTACTCTTTGTTCGTTATTATCATCATTATCGTGTCTTTTGGCTGTTGATTAGTTGATGTCTCATATCACTCTCTTCTTCCTGAAACTACAATTTAGTCTTACCTTATACATCCTTTTAGAAATTGCAGTTTTCCATAATTATTTTATGTGAAATTTTGGAATTAAAGGACGGGTTAGGTTATAATAAATTTTTAATTTTCAAACTTCAACATTTGGATTTCTATGATAAGCATAAAATTTTAATTTCTTCTATCACATCGTTAACAAAATGGTTATTAAGCCTGTAAATTATACAGTTTCAGTTTTTATACTGGTAAATTCAGGGAGGATTTATATAAATAATATTAGAAAATGAACTTTTTTGCTAAATTAAATGAATTGAAAAGCTTTTGTTACCAGGGATTTTTTTATTAGAGAATTATAGTAGGGTTGTTGACATCATCATAGGGTAATTTTTGAATGTTATGCTTCTTTATGCAACATCTTTCGTCGAATCCTTACTGATTTCTATCCCAGCTCATTCATTTTCGTATGAAAGACTTTATGGATTGGCGAAATCTTCATTTACAGGATCATTTATATATACGATTATTTTGGAGCTCATACATACCCGTTTTAAACCGGACATCGGCGGAATTAATTCCGAGCATATTTGTTTAACTCTTACAGAACTGACTTTGGATATATTCGATTGTTTGGATATTTTTCCGAAAATTTATTTGTCGAAATATGATACCACTGTTTTTAAGTGCGTTAAATTTCAATAATTTTAGTTGTAAAGCGTTCGAATTACTGGAATGACTGAAATCAAATCAACAGCAACTGTGGCAGAAGCAGAACTATATCGTTCCGAAGGCAATGAACATTTTCGCTCATTTCGTTATCATAATGCTATCAAGAGTTATACAAGATCATTGGAATGTTATGAAACATCTGCAGTGTTGGCGAATAGAGCTCAGGCTTATCTCAATACCAAACAGCACGTTCTTCATTTTTTTTTTTACTCGTTGTTATTTTTCTTTATTTAAATTTTAGTTCTTGTATGAAAAACTTTATTTCTGAATTTGAATAACTTACTGGAGTTATTAATAAATAAATGTAATTGAGACAGTTAGAAAGAAAAAGATTGAGACTTTAAGAGATATTCAAATGAGTTAATTCAAAATTTAACTAAGGAATTCTGAGATTGATTAAATTTTTCCAATGATGAGATCGTTTGAGATTTAAAATATGTTTATCCCGTTCTAAGTTGTCTTGCTTTTGGGTGAAGAAATTATACTCGTATTTTCAACTTTCTCGAATTTTAAATTAAGCTTATTGATTAATTTGTCTTCTGATTGTTTCGAAAAGTTTACTAGATGATTTGTCAAAATTTTTGATCAGTCGGTTGTTGGTTAATATCAATTTTATGTGTCTCTTCTAAGATTTCTAATACACTGACATCGTTGCTTCAATGCCATACAAGGCGAGATGATCTACGGAAACTTTATTGGAAATATCGGATAAGTTTTGCTGAAAAAGAAAAACCAAATTTTACAGATACGAACGAGCTTTAATGGATTCTGCGAGAGCTTTGGAGTTAGATGCAAACAACACAAAGGCAGTATTTAGGTAAACTCACTGCATTAACATCAGCGATATTTATGTTGTGATTTATATCTCTATGTTTTATAATTTTTGAATTCCTATTTTAAGTTGGTAAATTGTATTATGATTTTATCCTAATGGAAAAGTAGAATGGCTGCTCTA